GCCTCAGCGCCAGCCCCTTCTCATCTTTATAAGGACCTCGGTCACACTGCACTCAGAGCCCACCTACTCTGTAATGACCAAAGCGGAGTTAATTACACTGACAATGTCCCTATTTCTGAATAAGGTCTTGGGGTGGGGATTGCCCCGTATCTTCTGGAGGAGGCACTCCAATACTTAGCAGGCCCTTTGTCTGCAGGCTCCTCTCCATCCCTGACTCTCCCTGGTCCCAGCACCTCCTCCCTGGGACCCCGCTCCACCCTATGACCATTGACCCCTGAGCTGGGCTGTGTCATTCAGATCCTTCTGTTGGTGCCCGGAAAACCTGAGGCCGCAAGGTGCAGCCCTCGCCCCACGCCCGGTGCTGCTGCTTGTGGGGGGGTTGGTAGAGGGCGGGCAGGCGGCAGCCACCGGTCTGCACCAGCTAGCACCACAGCTGCATCTACTGCGAGGCCAGAGGCGCAGGTGGGGGTGAGGAAGCTCCAGGACACCCCTGTTGGCCCAACCCGATGCTCAGGGAGTCTTACCTGAATGACCGAGTCTCGCGCTGTCTCCAGGGCCTCTGCCAACCGCCCTCCCCCAACACGAACCAGTGCCCAGCGCTCACCTTGCTCTCCCCAAGGAGCTGACAGCGATGGGGAGCCACGCCCTGGCTGGAACAGGGAGGCTGGGTAGGGAGCTGACGGGGCCTAGACCAGGACTACGGGAAGGGCTCGGGAGATGCCACGAGGAGCCAGCGGGCACAGGCTGCGGCTGGGTGGTCCAGCCAGAAGCGAGTCGAGAAGGCTGCCCAGGGAGTGTTCTCGTGATTTCTCCTGAACCTGAGATAAGGAGGCTTATTTTGGAGACAATCCCAGGATACGTCAGCAAGAGAGTGGGAAAGGGACCCAGCGAAAGAGGAAAAGTGCCTGCCCGTGTAGGACAGACAGCCCCTGACTGCCCCGCCCCACAGGGAACTCCCAGCAGGTGCGAAGCACACGGTGCCGCCTGTGACCCACGGGCGCTGTGTTTGCAGGCCAGCTCCAGCAGCTGAACCCACTCCCAGGTTAGGTCACTGCTCAGCACTTCCCACCTGCCCCGAGGACATCCAGGTAGGTTCTGGCTGCCACAGAAAGACCCCACGCAGAAAAGCGAGGTCAGGGGCCACGGCCACGGTCCCTACGGTGACAGGCGGGCCAGTGCTCGCAGGCAGCTGTGGAGTTTGGGGTGCGAAGTGCTCCAGGACGTCTGGGCAGCTGTGGCGGCTGGCTCCCACCTGTGGGACTTGATATTTCAGCTAAGGCACTGGAGGAGGGATCCTAGAGACTGAGAGCTGCACCATGAACAAATCGCCAAGTCCGTGATTTGGTGTAGACCTGGGTCTGTGGGAAGAGAAATGTATTTTTTAAAGATTATTTGTTTGTTTTGTTTATTCACTTGAAATGCAGAGTTGCAGAGAGAGAGAAGGAGAGAGAGAGGTCTTCCATCTGCTGATTGACTCCCCAGATGGCCACAATGGCCAGGGTTAGCCAGGCAAATGTCAGGAGCCAGGACCTCCAAGCAAGTCTCCCACATGGGTGCAGGGGCCCAAGCACGTGGGCCGTCTCCCACTGCTTTCCCAGGGGCGTTCGCAGGGAGCTGGACTGAAGTGGTGCAGCCAAGACTCCACCTGCATTCGTACGGGATGCCGGCATTCTAGGCAGTGGCTCAGACAACTGGGCCACAACGCCGACCCCAGAAAAATGCACTTGTATTCCCTTGCCACAAGGCATGCCCAGAAGGCTGACATCTGCCTCGACAGGCATGGAGAGGGCTCAGTGGAGCCGAACCGTGACGCGCGGTGAAGCACTCGGGCCCAGCGCCGTGCTGATCTGTGTAACCTGAGCGCTGGAGGCCAGCAAAGCCAGCCCGCCCTGCGCTGACCTTCCTCCCGGCTCCAAAGCCCTGGACTAAGCCTCTCCAGGTCTGCTGTTGCCGTCAAGCTTTTGTGGAGAGGTGAAGCGAGGAGCGTTGTGTTGGGGCATCCCGTGTCACCGCAATAGGACACTCGGGGCTGTCTACGCAGAAGAGAGGCTTTGCTTCTTCAGGTCTCAGAAGACTCAAGGGCACAGCGGGTGCAGCATCTGCAGGCTCCAGTGAGGGCCCCACGGCAGCTGTGTGTGCAGACGAGCTCAAAGGACAAGACAGGAAGCCAGAGAGGGAGAGGAGACAGCTGAACTCATTTATAAAACAACCCTTCGCCCTGGGGACCCACTCCTGTGAGACCCAGTCTATTCCATGAGACCCCCCACCGCCAAGCGACCTGATGACTTTCTACAAGGCCCCTCCTCTTACAGGCTCCCACCTCAACACCACACACTGGAGACCAAGCTCCCAGCACACGAACCTTTGGGGCCACACTCAGAACGCATACCAGCCGTAGGAGCTTCTGTGAGGACCAACCACGGCACAGCTTCTGGGGTTAACAGGCAAGTCCCGGAGGTGAAGGCCACAGCTGCGGCTCCAAGGGGAAGCACTGGGCACTGGGAAGGGCCGGGTTTCCAAAAATGTTTATTTCCACTGATTTGAAAGGCAGAGCGACAACGAGAGAGAGAGTTTTCCAAGTGCTGGTTCGCGGATCCATGAACTCCACCCGGATCTCCCAGCTGGCTTACGGGGACCTAAGTATTGGGGCCATCACCGGCTGCCTCCCAGGGTGTGCATTAGCAGGAAGCTGGATTGGAAGTGGAGACAGGAACCCAGGCACTCCGATGTGGGATGCAGGGGTCCCAAGCAGTAGCTTAACCTGTCACGACCCCCGCCCCAGGGAGAAGACTGGTTTTAAAGGGCATCTGTAGATAGTGTGTGCCCTGCAATGCCGACCACATGGGCACCCAAAAGGACATCACTCCCTGGGCCACAGCAGGCCACCCTCTGCCCAGTCTCCAGCGGTCACATTTGGCTCTTCACAGGTCTCTCTGGACTGGAGAAAAGGCCCAAGTAACAGGATGTGTCACACATACACGCCACTCTGTTGCCAGGCCCCAGTGACGGACGCGCAGACTCGCCTGGGAGAGTCCTGATGGGCTGAGTCTGGGAGGCTGTGTCCTCATCGCCAGGGCAGAGGGAGGAGGCTGCTGGTGGGCAGCGGTCCTAAAGGTCACACTGAGCGATGCCAACAGGAGGCGAACCTGCCATGCTGCCAGCAAGCCTAATTGACAGGTTTGGGAAAAGCTGGGGGGACAGTAGTTGGGAGCTGAGGTGCTTGGATCCTGGCTCTGCCACTTACTAACTCCATGACCCTTCACAAGTTACACATGCCTTGGTTTTCCCATCTGTGAAATGGGGGACGCAAGAGTTCTTGGAGTAGTTGTGGAGACTGTGAGAGTTCATGGAGCGTACCTGGTACATTCACAAGGCCTTTGGAAATGTCATCTGTCCTGACTGCCTGCTGCCTTCCGTGAGTCGCAAACATTAGACCGCCAGGACTCAGTTTGTTGGAAAATGCACTACTCCTAAAATCCCATTAAAATTTTTTTAAAGATTCATTCATTCATTTATTTATTTGAAAGGCAGAGTTACACAGAGAGAGGGAGACAGAGGTTTTCCACCTGCAGGTTCACTCCCCAGATGGACACATGGCTGGGGCCGGGCTAGAAGCCTGAGCTCCTTCCGGGTCTCCCACGTGGGTGCAGGGGCCCAAGCACTCGGGCCTCTTCTACTGCTCTCCCTCGTGCATTGGCAGGGAGCCGAATTGCAAGCAGAGTGGCTGGGACTCCAAATGGTGCTCACATGGGATGCTGGGGTCAAAGCAGCGGCGTAACCTGCTCTGCCACGATGCCAGAGCCTTAAAGAACCCTTGGGGCTGGAGCTGCAGTGTAGCAGGTTGGGACGTCGGCATTCCTTAGGGCACCAGTTCAAGTCCCGACTGCTCCACTTCCGATCCAGCTCCCTGCTAGTGCACCTGGAAAAATGGTGGAAGATGGCCCAAGTGCTTGGGCCCCTGCACCCACATGGGAGGCCCGGATGAGGCTCCTGGCTTTGGCCTGGCCCAGCCCCGGCCCTTGCAGCCATTTGGAGAGTGAACCAGCAGATGCAGGATCTCTCCCTCTCTCTGTAACTCTACCTTTCAAATAAAATAAATCTTAAAAACAAAACTTAATCCATCTCATTAGCTATCCCTAATCTGTGATACACACTGAGTTCAAATGAGAACAAGCGCTCTAGGAAGCATGGCATGAGGATATCAGACAGGCTGTGGGAGCGCAGCCCGAGGCAGGAGTGTGGGACTCAAATGTCAGGGAACAGAGCTGAAGGTAACTGGGACCCCTGTGCAAATCCCAGCTCTCAGGGAGGGTGTCTGATATTTTAGGCCTCAGTTTTCTCATCTGGAAAATGGGGCTAAGAATAGACCTGACTTCATGGTGCCTTACCTGGCAGCACCATCTGAGTGGTGGTGTGGGAGGAGACAGCCTGGGCTAAGGCCTGGGTTCTGCAGGACAGCTGGAGATGAAGTGTTGACGTGGGGGTGCACCCCGAGAACTTGAGCCTCCTGCCAGACCCCTGGGTTGGGTTTTGAGGGTCTTTTCTAGGATGACATCAGGAGTTGGAGGTCTGAAGTTGAAATTTGGGGAAGGATGGAGGCTCACCCCAACTTGGGAACACAACACACACGAAACCCCCAGTGTCTGACTTGCTAGTTCAGGCTTCGGAAACAACTGTCGCCAGGGAAAGTCAGCGAGGGTGGGGCTAGGGTGGGCTTCCAGGCAGGGGCTCGCACCCTGGCCCAGGCCGGGGCCGTTCCACTCCCTGGGAGAAGCTGCCCTGCCCCAAGACACAGGCGCTGGCCATTGCGGCCACTTCAGAGCGTTTGACACCCCGACGGGAAAGAAAGCACTCCACGCCCCGCCACTGGCCCGGCCCTTAGGGCTGCATCCCAACCCCACCGTCAAGACACCGCTGGGACCTTCAACAAACACAGGGTTTTGTTTGGTTTGTTGTTGCTAAAATGAGCAGCAGTTATGAACACATGGAAACAAATCAGCTTCGAAGAAAGGCTGTCGTGTTGATTTTATTTCTCTGCGGAAATTGTGTGCGCCATGGTTAATAAATCGTCTTTTAGAAAAGGATCAAGTAAAAATTAATAAATACATAAATAAATAAATAGGAGCCGCTCCAAAGGGGCGGGGGTCGTGGACCGGGGGAGGCGTCCCTTGTGGAGTCCAGAGCGGTTATCTGCAGCCGGCGTTCTTTCTAGTGCTCTCTAGTGTTTCCTGAGCACTGTGGAGAGAAGAGAGAGGTGGTGAAGGGCCTGCGACGCGGAGACGGAGGTGGAAGCTGAGCTTGGTGTGTGAGGCTTTGGAATTTCTAGACCTCAGCTTCCTGGTCCATACACAGGGTCGGGGGGTGGCATCACCCTGGCGATCCCGCCCTTGCCCTCGAAGCTCTAGAAGGTGTAGGGAAAACCAGATTACACGTCTGGGACTCCAGTGAGCAGACTGCACCCCAAGGAGACTCTTCTGGCCCCTTGGATGAAAGGCGCAGGGGTGGATGCAGAGGGGCTGGGGACGCGGGCGGGGTGATGGGTGGGGTCCTCAATGAGTGTTTCCAGAAAGGCACCCTTCAGCAAGAGGGGGTGCGATCCAGGCGCCCCAGACAACAAACCAGAAGTGACTCTCAGGCTGACAGCCGGGGGCAGGGCTGGGCGTGCAGCTCCCCAGCCCAGACCCGACGCAGATGGGGGCTCACCATTGCAGCCCAGGCCGCTGAAGGAGCCAATCCGGTCCATCCTCCGCCCGAAGCAGCCTGAGTCCCGCATCCGCTTGGGGCCATGGAGTCTCCGCAGGGTCTGGCGGGCCTCATCCAGGGGCACAGGGCTGCCTGCAGGGGCCGCCTCTCTGGTCTCCTGGGTCTCCCAGGTTTTCGCCGTGCCTCCGTCTTGCTGGGTAGGCTCCAGGGTCGTCTGCTGTGCCTGCAGCTGGGAGACCTTGTTCCGGAGACGGCCCAGCAGCTGCTGTGGTGGGCAGAAACCAGAGGCTCGGGATCTCCCACCTGGGCTCACCCTCCCCGTGGTGCCCAAGTGAATCCACCCACAGCACTGTGTCCAGGGACCTGGAGTAACTCTCTCCGCTTTCTGATTCTCCCATTGATTCCCGAGGGAGCGTGGAGACCCTAGGGACGGCAGCTGGGCACCCTTTCCTTGCTGCTGTCCAAGCCCTCCAGGGCGCTCACATCTATGCAGCCCCTCTGCACTCACCTGTATCTCAGAAAGTTCTGAGGAGGTTTTGCTGGGGCTGCCCAGCGGGTGGGGACGACACCTCTGCGGGGACAGGTGCAAGAAGAGGAGGAGCAGGAGAGCCCGGGAGAGCCCCGTCGGGAGGTCCATGTTGCTGGGGAGAGCGGCTGCTGCGGGGTGCGCGGGTTCCTGTCCCACCTCTGGGAGGCCAGCAAGTGCTCTCCTGGCTGCTCCGGGAACCGCGCGCGGCCTTTTATTCCGGAGCTGAGTGTCCAGCCGGTCCTTCCCTGGCCGAGGGGCGGGGGCGCCGTTATCTCTGATTTATCAGCCACATTCCGGCCCGCTGAGCTCAGGGCCGGGAATGCGCCCCTCCGCGCTGGCGGTGGAGGCTGGGGAGAGCAGGCCTTGTATAGAAATGGGCTGGGCCGGGGGCGGGCGCGCGGGGGCCCCTGCACGTACCCGGTTCCCGCTTCCTCCCTTCCTGCGAGAATCCGGGGCCCTCGCGTGGCGCTCTCTTCTTCTCTCTCCACCCCAGTCATCGCTGGAAAGGGCAGGGAGAAGCCCAGGACCGCCCCGGGCTGAGCCCCTTACCCCGGGAGCCGGCGGCCCGCGGGACTCCGGCTCGCAGCCGCTGGGTGCGGGGGCGCTGGCCGTGGTGCTGATCGCGCCAAGCGAGCGAGGCGCAAACTCTCAGAATCCGCCCTTCTCACCCGGGGTTTCCAAGCCCGGAAGACCTTCAGGGGACAGAGGACAAGAGACCTCCAAGACCTCCCTCGCGCTCTCACTATCCCCATCCCCCACCATGAGCCTCGTGATACTGGGATGCAATTCTTCAGCGTCAACTGACTAAAAACCTGGTTATGACAAGGAAGTTGTGGAATGCTGACCCTTCCTCCTTCTCGTAAAGGACAGAATTGATTTGGCCTGGCTGGAATTTCGAGAGCAAGTCCAGAGATGAAGTCACCAGGAATGCACTCTGGGCACCTCATCCAGGTGCCAACACCTTCCCCACGCCCAGACAATGCAGGATGGAAATAGAGGGTGATCAGAGGGTGCATGTACCCTTCCCAGTGCCCCCTTCACTGGATCACCCACAGACTAATTCCCATCTGCAGGTGGCCTAGGGCCCCTCTGTTATTAGAAATGAGAATCAGAGAAATGGCCTTGGGAAGGGACACAGCAGCATAAAGAACCTCCCCCCAACCCCCCAAGCCATGACCCCATCTGTGTTAACAAGCAGCAGCAGCAACAGGCTGGGCTGGGGTAGGGCTGGCAGAGGCAGGAAAGGGACAAACTTCTCCTGAAAGCTGGCGGCTGCCGGGTGAAAGCCACTCCGAAGAATCAACCTGCTTTGCAGAGGTCACACGATTGACAAGTAGTAAGTCCTGGTTTCCCAACCAGCTGTCAGGTTCCAGCCCCACAGTTCTTATAAACTGCCGTGGTGGTCAGAAGGTGTTTCTTCAAAAAGAAAGCTTTGTTGGACCCCTTGTCATCGATGAAGGCTCAGGGAGCTGGGCTGCTTTGTGGAGTGTGGGCCTGGATGTGCAGGGGAAGGAAGGTGTGGGCTAAGGTGAGCATTTTGTAGAAGAAGATGGGGGGGGGGTCAATGAGGACTGCATGATGATGGCAGTTCTGGGCAGGTCCTGGGGGGGCTGTGGCTGTGTGTGTGTGTGAGTGTGTGCGTGTGCATGCCACAGGAAGTCTATCCCTAGGCGAAGTGGACATGAGGGAGGCAACAAAATACAGCCCAGGGTATAGAGCTGAGTCGGAGCCAGGGAGCGGGGCTGCTGAGGGCCTTGAGTCCATTATGCTGGATGTCATAGGGTGAAGGGTCATGGGGAGCCAGAACCCATCACCAACACCTATCAAGAGTGAATTCTGGCCGGTGCCACGGCTCACCAAGCTAATCCACCACCTGCGGCGCCGGTACTCCAGGTTCTAGTCCCGATTGGGGCACCAGATTCTGTCCCAGATGCTCCTCTTTTAGTCCAGCTCTCTGCTGCGGCCCGGGAAGGAGTGGAGGATGGCCCAAGTGCTTGGGCCCTGCACCCACATGGGGGACCAGGAGGAAGCACCTGGCTCCTGGCTTCAGATCGGCACAGCAAGCCGTCTGTGGCGGCAATTTGGGGGGTGAACCAATGGAAGGAAGACCTTTCTGTCTCTCTCTCTCACTGTTTTAACTCTGCCTGTCAAAAAAAAAAAAAAAAAAAGAGAGTGACCTCTGCCTCTAGCCAAGCCTCACAGTGCTCTTCTGCACAGTGGACGTAGCTCCCTCCTTGCGAAGACTGCAAGGGAAGAGATGATATCTGGGAAAGCCTGCAGCAGTGTGAGAGGATGACGGAATCCAGGTGATGTAATAGCTGATCCTCGCATCAGAGGAGGAGACTGTGACCTTGCTGGGAAGACAAAGCGACCCCAGGGGCATCCAGAGCCTGTCTCTGCCCCCATGGAGGGCAATGTGGGAGAATTCAGGGAAGAGAGGACTGCAGACATCCTCCCAAGGACTCTGTCCAGGGAAGGAGGGTGTATTATCCATTAACTCTCATGCCAGGCCAGCCCCACAAATATCTATCGAATGCCTACTCTCTGCCATGCACTTTTGGCATTGGCGTCCAGCCATACCTCCTAAGTCACCACATTACTACACGAGGGTTGACTTAGATGGTGCTTGAGATAAGCTGGACCATAGCCAGCCCCTCAATACGTACACGTAATAATCCCCAGAACTCACAGATGGGAGGTGCTTCACAGATGTGATGAAGGCAGTATCTGCAGTAGAGATGCACTTCCAGGCTATCCATGAGGCCCAGTGTGACCACAAGGGTCCTTCCAAGGGGGACAGGAGGATCAGGAATCGAGAGAGGATTTCAGGATGGAGACAGAGGTCGGAGAGAGAAGATGCTGTGCTGCTGGCTTTGGAGATGGAGGAAGAGGCCATGAACCAAGGGATGTTAGTGATCTCTAGAGACTTAGAGAAGGAAGAGAAATGGGGTCCAGTGATGTGGCACAGCTGGTTAAACTACTGCCTGCAATGCTGGCATCCCATATGGGTGCCTGTGCAAGTCCTAGCTGGTCCACTTCCAATCCAGCTGCCTGCTAATGAGCTTGAGAAAGCAGCAGATGGCTCAAGTGCTTGGGCCCCTACACCCAAATGGGAGACCCAGATGGAGTTCCAGGCTCCTGTCTCTGGCCTGACCATTGTGGCCATTTGGGGGGGGTGAGCCAGCCGATGGAGGATCTCTTTCTCTCTCTCTCTCTCTCTCTCTCTCTCTCTCTCTCTGTAACTCCACCTTTCAAATAAATAAATAAATATTTTAAAAGGGGAGGGAAAGAAACATAGTCTTCCCTAGAGCTTCCAGAGGAAACATAGACCTGCCGGCACCTTCAAGTCAGCCCAGTGAGACAAACTTCAGACTTTTGATCTCTGGAACTCTAAGCAAATAAGTTCATGTTATTTTAAGCCAATAAATGTGTCACCATTTGTCTCAGCAGTGATGGAAGCCGATACAGTCTGCAGAAAGGGCCGAGCCCAGGGCCCAGCACAGCTGAGGTGGTGCTGTGTCAGCAGACCCCCACCCACGTCCAGCAGTACATGCTGGCTGCTGGCTACAGAGAAAGTAAGACCTTCACTCCTTCTAGTAAAACTGCATTGAGAGGTAGGCATTGTGACGCAGGAGATTAAGCCACCACCTGCAAAGCCAGCATCCCATGTGGGTGCCGGTTCAGGTCCCAGCTTTTCCTCTTCGGATCCAGCTCCCTGCTGATGAGCCTGGGAAAGCAGCAGAAGACAGCCCGAGGGCTTGGGCCCCTGCCACCCCTGTGGGAGACCTGGATGGAGTTTCTGGCTCCTGGCTTTGACCCGGCCCAGCCCCAGCTCTTGCAGCAATTTGGGGAGTGAATCAGCAGATGGAAGACCTCTCTCTCTGTCTCCGCGACTCTACCTGTCAAACAAATAAAATGAATCTTTAAAAAAAAAAAAAACTCATTAAGGGCTTAGAGCACAGTGTCCAGGGCCCAGACTCGGACAGCCTGGATTCGATCCTGCCTCGTCAGCTTCTTGCTGCCTGTGTCATCTTGGTCACTGGAGGATGCGTGTGTGCAGGTAAGCCCCTGATGTGTCTTCCGATGGCCGGGGAGGCCAGTGGGAGGCCCTGCCAATAGGAGTTCTCAGGGCAAAGCAGAGGCAGACCCCCAGGAAGTCACGGTGAGTGACAGTGGCAGGTAGTCCCGGACGCTCTATGCACACAGCAGGAGCACCGAATGGATTCGGGGTGCCGGGCTAAGGCTGTGAAGGATAAGCATGAGTTAGCAGAGGGTGGGCATTTGGCCTGGAGGTTAAGATGCCTGCACCCCACCTTGGAGGGCCCGAGTTCAATACCCAGCTCTGCTCCTACCCCAGCATTCATAACGCAGGCTCTGCGAGGCCGTGTGATGGCTTGTGGAGTTGGGTTTCCATCACTGGCACTGGGTTGAGTTCCTGGCTGCTGACTTTGGTCTGGGTGGCTGCAGGCATTCAGGGAGTCAGGGAGCTCTCACTTTCCTCTCTCTCTTTTTCCTTCCCCTACCCTCCCCTCCCCTCCCCTCCCCCCTCCCCTCCCCCCTCCCCCCTTCCCTTCCCCTTCCCCCTTCCCTCCCCTCTCCTCCCCTCCCCTCCCCTCCCCTCCCCTTCCCTTCCCTTCCCTTCCCTTCCCTTCCCTTCCCTTCCCTTCCCTTCCCTTCCCTTCCCTTCCCTTCCCCTTCCCTTCCCTTTTCTCTGGCTCCCTGTCACTCAAATAAAGACAACACACACACAAACAAGTTCGCCCTGAGAAGGAAGAGGGGCAGGCACTCTGGGCTGCACAGGCTAAGGCAGGATGGGGAGGGGAGGGGAGCTGGCTGGCTCTCCCCCCGCAGCCTCACAGCCTCATCACAAGACGCAGAAGCCAGGGGTTGGCTGTGCAGGGGGCCGGGCTCCTGCGGCAAAGCTTGCCTCTGGCTCCCATCTCCAGCCCCGCTGTGGACAGCCACGGGGGTGGTGTGAGAGCCTGAGCACCTGGGGCTAGGGGAGAGAGGAAGCAGAGGCGCCCGGCCAGGGAGGGAGTGGGCAGCTGGTCTCTGGCTGCAGCCGATGCATCATCTGGCTCGGGGCTGTGTGGCTCTGCGGGGTCATTTCTGTGCTCTGGGTTATAGCCTTGCCTTTATACAATGAAGAAAGAAGAGCAGGAGCCCTGCCAAGCACAAAGACCTAACTTCTAGCAATCCACT